CAGGCAGCTGAAAATAAAGTATATCAGTGGACGTATTCAGCAAAGACAGGACTCTAAGTGAACTAAGAGAAGACAGAGGTGATGAAGCATCCGACCAAAATTGATAAATACAAATCACTGTTAACGAAAGGAATTTTAAGGAAGTTGCTTGTCTGGAAAGCGTAGTTTCACATAGAAGTGGCTTAGACGAGAATATCAAAACCATCTACCGATCAAAGGAGCAAGATAGACCTTGATTATTATGAAGTAAGCGTGGACATCTAGTTTATTAAGTTTGAGGATCAAGATCTGGATCTTCAGCAGTGATATCAAATCAATGGTTCTGTTTAGACATGATGGAGAAGATTTGTAACTCAGGTGGGTGATTTTGATGCAGGGAGAGGGAATTAAGTGCATAAAAAGCTCGATCCTGTCACACCTGGTGGATACTGGACATCGTATCGATGTCAACGCAGCTTTCAGAGTTATATACCGAATTCCGAAGTCGTTATCACGTACAGTTTGCTCACACGTCTCCTACACTTAGCTGAAGCTGTTGCAATAAGATAGACTAAACTGGAACTGTGTATCCAAAAGGAACATGTCCAGACGCTGTTCCTACCGTGGCCAACCTTGAATTGAAGATTTTTCTTCTCACCAAGAGTGCTCCTTCCCCTTAACCCTCTTGGTTTTTTTTTCTTTTTTAATTTACTTATTATTATTATAAATATTATTATTATTACAGTTATTATTCGTCATAATTTATGCCCTTCATGCAAACTTTCCCTCAATACTATCGAACTTTCATTTATACTATCCGGACTTATTATTAGTGATATTATCTGTTTTCTCAATATATGCCTTCACCTGTTTCATTTAATATATTTGTTATCTCACTATGAACCTCTCATTGCAGTCTTACTATCTCCTGTTTAACTCAGACCACTTTGTACTAGCCACTCACTCACCTGACACCTTTTATAACTTTGAACTGATTTGTCAATTTTCCTACCCCACACTCTACAAATCTATTATGATTAATCACCACCATTGTCTCTCGTTTTACAATATTTTGGTAATCGATTTCAGCCAACTAGCACGTTTGTCACACAAATATGACTATTTATTTTGACACCCCATAACTACGAGTTGATCACGGATTGATATCAGTTAGAGAACCATTGAAAACCAGGGAGTACTGGACAGCTGCTGTTTCATCCTAGTCTTTTGGAAATCATCGGCAGTACGCACCCACTGGGATTCGAACCCAGGACCTTCCGGTTACAAGGCAAGCTCGTATACCATTCAGCCACTGGGACCTGATTCAATGGCCATCTCATGAATTCTAACTTCTACTAATTCGTGATTTAGCGCGACCCCAACCTTTGTCGTTGGTGGGACATCCATCCACACACGTGACATCTAATTGGACCTCACTGGTCACGACTTCTCACTAGAACTCAGGAAACTCCAACCTGTAGCAAGTCACTAGCGAGCATCAGATTAACTTTTTATAGTTTGGTTTGTAAGGATTAGTTATGTCTTACGAGTTGATCACGGATTGATATCAGTTAGCGAACCATTGAAAACCAGGGAGTACTGGACAGCTGCTGTTTCATCCTAGTCTGGGAATCATCGGCAGTACGCACCCACTGGGATTCGAACGCGGGACCTTACGGTTACAAGGCAAGCTCCCTGGTTTTCAATGGTTCTCTAACTGATATCAATGAGTGATCAACTCGTAAAACATAACTAATCCTTACAAACCAAACTATAGAAACCCCATAACTAATCTGTTATTCTACGTTAAAAATGTATCCCCCGCATACCTGGCTATCTTTATTGTAACGACCACAAATATCATAATTTTATAACTGTAAGAACCTGAAGAGGAGAAATTATTGAAAAGAATATTCTTCGTGTTCATATTGACTTTTAATTCATAATATGGGAATATTTCACACTATCAGATTTTGATGTAGTTGTTGTCTCTTAGCTGGATGGTTTATTTGCGAATCTTTCAAAATGAAATATCCACTGAAGATGTTGCCTAGTAGGGGGCAATGAAAGCTTCGTAAATAAACCATACAGCTTAGAGAAGACAAACTACATCAAAATTGCTTCTGTATGCTACAGAGGTTTGGCTTGAAGTGGCTTCAGACTTTTATCAGTCGATGTAGCTTCACAGCCTCGTCGATTGATTTCCCCTGCTTACCTAGAACTCGATGCCTAACCTCAATATTGCTCACCCTAATATACCACTTCACACGGGAGATAGAGCCTATGCGAGTTGCAGGGGTGCTTTAGTTCATCGTTATCACTGACCTATAAACCTGTAAACAGTACCTTAAAAATCGCTTGGAAATTCTTGAAAGGTTGTCGTGAGTTAAAGATGCCGTGAAGTTCTTTTCAAGTAAATTATTCAAACTCACAGTAATTTAAGCATGTCTGAAGACAAAAATTAGGTATTAAGCCTAGTAGGTCTGTAGAACAATATGAACTTGGCTTCTGAACTGTCAACCAGAATTAATTCGCCAGATCAACAAGGATCAAGGACAGCTAACTGACATAAATGACCCTTGGGAAAGATAAATATCCCATTTTTTAATGAAGAATTCCTAACACAGTGGTTAATATATGTGTAAAACTTAGGCACTGTGGTAGTAAGTAATTCCATATTAGTTTGTTTATTAGATGTATCACACAGTCAGTGAAACAGTATTGTATACTGGATGACGTTTCGAACACAATTTATTGTTCATAATCATATCAATTGTGGTCACACGACTTTGAGATTTGAGTTTTATAGTTTTCTTTGTCGTCTCCTATTTGTCGTATGGGCAGCAGAATTTTCCATATATCTTGGACAGGTGTTGAATCGTTTCTATTACATGTATTTGCTTCTGTTATCAATCTTTCCCTCCATTCACCCTGTGACATTAGATTTCAAAACTGTCATCCTATCCCATCCTATTATATGGTTGTGTGTAATTGCATGTAGTGCTATAGCTGAACTATTTTCAAGATTTCTTATCTTATTTGGGTCAACCAATCTAGATTTTGCTGAGGTTTTTATATTCGGCTAGTCTGACTGCCCCTGTCCTACTCGTTTGACCTATGTATTTGACCTGACAATCATTGCAGGCAGGGTATTAGATAAACTAAATTGTTTTGTTTTAAAGGCTCCACAGGATTGATCCTTTAACTAACAAAGCTTGTTTTTATTTGAGTTTGTGGGGGGTTTGAATGCCATTTTTATTCCTGCCTTGTTAAGTATTCTGCGTAAGGCTTCCGAGGTTCCTTCCTCGTATGGAATTACTGTTGATGATTTAGATTTCTTATTGTTAGTGTTGTCATTAATATTATTATTATCCCTATTATTATTATTACCACCATTATTATTGTTATTGTTATCATTATTATTATCATTACTATCACTATTGTCATTATTTATTTTATTTGCTTTTACATTTACTTACATATTTCTTGACTAATTTATCCGGGTAATTATTAAGTTTCAAGGCTTCTTTTATGTGTATCACTTTCTGTCTTAGATTTTCCTTGGTACTACTTAGTTTTTGTGCTTTGTCATTTAAACATTTCACTAATCCTGTTTTTACTGACATAGGATGGGATGATCGGAAATCCAAATATCTGTTTGAATGTGTGGGTTTTCTGTAAACACTAGTGTTTAGCTTCCCATCTTCTTTCTTTTTTACGTTGCAATCTAACATTGGAAGTTCCCCTTCCTGACTTTCCAACTCATAAGTCAATTGAATGGCCTCTACCTTCGAGTTGATGTGTTCGAAAAATCTACCTATATCTTGTGTTCTAAGTACAGTGAATGTGTCATCTACATACCTCCACCATACTTTTGGGGTTGGGATGAACGTTTCAATCGCTCTCTTTTCCCACCTATCCATGAATATATCTGCTACAACTGGGGATATTGGTGATCCCATGGCAACTCCCTCAGTTTGTTTGTGTATTTTTCCCACCCGATTTTATTTTTACGACAGGCGAAATAAATCGACAGGTTGATGATGGCTGGGTACAAAATTTAGTAGTGTATGAGAGAAATTAACCAAGCAGAAAGGTGAAAACTGTCAATTATTCCATTGTCCATTGAATTAAATCCACGGTTATCATTTTGCACAGTTTGTAGTGAAATTTCACCAAAGTTTCCAATCAACTAGAAACAGAAAGTATTCAGTAGCTGGCCGAAATTTAGATGGTTTGTTTAATACTTAGGAATTGTTTTTGTAAGTATTGCGTTTGACTGGTTGGAAGGTCCTGGTTTCGAACACTGGTAGTATCTGCGTACCGACGAAGAGTCCCAAACTAGGCTGGCGCAAAAGCTCCCAGTTGGCTTTCCAGTGTTTCTCTAATTGATGTCACCGCATGATGAAGTCCTCCCAACAATCAAACAATATCTCGGAAAAACCAATACTTGAAAATTGATCGGATGCTCACTAGCGACTGGTCCTGTTCAGGCAGTTACAAGGAATTCTGGTGGGAAGCCATGACCAGTAGGGTACAGTAGGTTGAAGGTGAGGCAATAACTCATCGAAAAAGGCACTGCAATGCTGTCCCGCTATGTCAGGAATTGATAGAAGTTAGAATTCATGGACTGGCCATTGGGTCCGGCGGGACATAGTGGCCTAATGGTCTACGAGTTAGCTCACTAGCCTTGTAATCAGAAGGTTCTGGGTTCGAACTCTGGCCGTGGGTGGGTGCTGCTGAAGAGTTCCAAACTAGGCTGAAGAAACAGCTGTATGTCCAGTACTCCCCGATGGTTTTCTAGCCGCTCTCTAACTGATATCCACTCATTATGAAATCTTGAAAGAAATCAAATCCCTGTAAACCTACACTTATAAAAATTATCTTTTTCAATGTATATGTCAGAGAAAAAAGGTAACTTAATAAACGAGAAAACTGAAAATGCATATTCAAAGGAAAGGAACACGCCAGTGATGTAAAAAAAGGTAAAGACTGTGTATGCTTTTTGCAAAACAACTTACGTCATATCGGTGTTCAGTATTTGACGACACGAAATACAAAAATGATAAGTCATTAAGTTGAATTCCTGCAATTGTTTTACCGCATGTGAAATCTGTAAAAGAAGAAATATGAAGAGGGTGTAAAAGGACAGGAAATCGATATCAGGGAAGGTGAAATATTACATGTACATATATATTTACTTTACGTTTCTATTGAAACATAGTACTTCAAGTTATAGCTCTGAGGTTTCTGAAGCAGAAGTGTTTTATGTTTACAGGCTAAGGTTGCTAACCTTCCTTCTTTACCGGCCATATTACTGGCGTAGTGAGGTAAAGAAGTGCGTCGGTGGCCTGTGATCGAGCCCCGAACCACACGTGTAGTAGACGAGCATTCTACCACTGTGCCACTGACGCTCAAAGGTGAAATATGTAGTAGAAAAAGGTCGAAGCTCTCATAAGCTCTTTTTCTATGCATTTCCACTTAGATTGCTTTAAGTAAAATATTCGTAGGCTCCAAATGGTTATCCGAACAGTGATTCAGAATTCACGAGTTTATTGCATCACTTGGAGACAGAAGTTGAAGTTAGTTTAAATTCAACGATTGCTGTAATATGAACTCCAGTATATGTTTTCTGAATGTACGAATTACATTGAAATGAACTTCATTTTTTGAAATGAGCAATAAATGTGTTATTAATAACCACCGGGATTCAACTACAGGAGGAACTGACGAGGATATCAAAGCAAGGATCGAGAAAGCAAGACAAGCATTCATTACTCTCAAGTCTGTGTGGAGGTCAACAGTACTCAACATCAAAAATAAGATCCGGGTTTTCAAATCCAATGTGAAGTCAGTGCGATGATTCATATAGATCAGAGATCTGGCGTGTCATGAAGAGCACCTTAAACTCCACACTACAGAGCTTCGTCAACAGCTGCCTTCGCTCAATACTCAAGATCAAATGGCCAGTGAGAAAAGATCAGCAACAGCGATCTCTTAGAGCAAATCAACTGGAAACCGATTGTGTAAGAAATAAGCAGGAAGAAATGGAGGTGGATTGGTGGCCATACTCTGAGAGAACAAACCATCAAGTGACATCACTAGACAGACTCTCCAGTAGAACCCGAAAGCGAAGGGGCAAGTTGGTCGTCAGTGCGAGGGTGACATGGAAGAGGTCATGTGAAGAGGAGATGAAAAAATTGTGGGTTGCACACTTGGAGCCAAGTGAAAACTTCAGCAGAGAACCGAATGCAATAGAGACGCGCGACTGAACCCCTACGTTCCTCTAGGAATTAAATGAAATACTAATAATGACCGGGATTCAATGAATTCATGAAATTTTGGTAGAATCCCTCAAATGAATAGCAATACAAACTGAATCAACGTATACTCTGAAGAACACAGAGAGAGAGATTTATGAAGGGAATAAACTGTCTATATATATATATATATATATATATATATATATATATATATATATATATGGATAACTCGGGCATTGTAGTGAATGTAATTTCATATAAGATACGTTTATTTCAAATATCACACTTGTGCTGCAGTATAAACCACTTTTTTGATTGAACACTTGTCAGTAACTAGTGGAATGTGTCTAGTCTTTTGTTTGGCACACAATAAATTCTATCAGTCAAGTTTGCAATGTGGCCACTATGCCACTAGGTGTTCCGCCATCACGGTACACGGTAACCAGTGTCCCATGAAAAATATCCAATAAAGTCATACAAGAGGTCGTTTGCTAGCTCAAATAGCTCAGCGGTAACGTCTCTGAATACAGATATCACTGAGTGACGTGGGTTTGAATCTCAGAAGACATATGAGCTCATTCATGTCGGTTGCAGATACACTATGCTGATGAGTACCAACTAGTAAGGAACCTAGGTCGAAGGGTTCCTGCCTTATCCTCTAGATGTCATCTTATATCAAGTATTAAAAATTGGACAACGATTTGAGCAGAATTAATTAATTATATTCATAATCTTATCAGTTTATCTACATGGCTTCATAATTTGCTTCATATGTATTTATATATTTTATCCTTTACCCATTATTATTTGTTGCGAGTTTCCATTTTTTGTGGTATAGGTGTTGCATCATAGCTGTTGCGTTCCAGGGATTAATCTCTGTTTGAGAAAATTAAAACAATTAATCCCTTTAATAAATTTGAATAAGGCATTTCGCGAGATGATATCGTTATTTTGCAGTTTCTTTACAACCGCTTTACAACTACTAACATGGTTAATAATAATGAAATACAATAAAGGTCATGACAATTACTCAGTTAAATTAAAAAACCCAAAAGTACATACTAATGACCAATCATATTTTAATAGGTCAAGTAGTCAGTTCATGGTAGGTGAAGATTGAAGTCTATTGTTTATTTTGTACACACAGTTTAGGCTGTTTGTGATTAATTCCCCAAAGTGCTTTCATCACCTTCAATAACCAACCTTGAATTAGAGTGATTTGATGAAATAATTCTGAAACAGTCACTAATATTGATTTTGATCTATTTTTCGTAAACAGACATGGAGTGGACAATATCTTCATTTTAGCAGTTTTGTTCCTATCCAGTATAAACGTTCCATATTGAGTGAAATCTGTATTCTCAAGGGCCCGAAAAATATGCACGAGTGACACAATGATGAAAGAGTTTCGACATATACATTCAGTTTTATTAGCTAATGGTTATCCGGAGAATTTTATCACTTGTCACAGTAAAGAAAGATCACATCTAGAAAAGACAGCTTCTGTACCAAAGAAAGCTATCTATCTTTATAAACCTACCATTCAAGGGTGGCCAGATTATGCAGTTGACAGCTCAGAGACTTCGGTCAGCCATCAAACGCACATTCTATGCCCCATCTCTTTTTCCCACTTCCCGAACATTTTCGATCCCTGTGCCTACCTACGATTAAAGGACGAAATTCTGTGGACTCTACTCCAAACTGTATCTACAAGTTCACCTGCAGTTTTTGTGGTGAAACCTATATAGGTAGAACCAACAGAATGTTACAATGTCGTCGAAAAGCTCGTGTTCCAAAATGACTACGAAATCATATAGAAAATCCCAAAGCGATTGATCTGAATAGAAATCCAGCATCGCCCAATGCAAATCACTTATTAATGTCAGGTCACAAAATCAATATTAATTAATGACTGATCCACAATTATTTCACCACATAACTCTAATTGAAGGTTCGTTATTGAAGGTGATGAAAGCACTTTGGGGGATTACTCACATACAGCCTAAAATGTTTGTACAAAATAAACAATAGACTTCAATCTTCGCCTAAAATGGACGACTACTTGACCTATTAAAATATGATTGGTCATTAGTATGTACTTTTGGTTTTTTTATTTAACTGAGTAATTGTCATTAACTTTATTTTATTATTGTTAACCATGTTAGTTGTGTGAAGCCGTTGTAAAGAAACTACGATATGACGATATAATCTCGCGAAATTGGTCTACTTAATACCTCATTCAAATTAATCTCCCTGTCTTTTTAAAACTTTCATCCTGTCCTCTCATATTGTGTGTGTAACCACACTGCGAATGAATGCAATGCGGTGATCGGGTCAGTTGTTCTAGGTTCAGATAAAATTCCATATTCCCATAATCTAACTGATCCCAATCTACTACATGTTTGACACACATAACTGACTTCCCAGCCAGTATTACATGGTATTTAGTAATTCATTTTTTTAAATTTTTCATAATATCTTTCTTTCGGCTCCTTAATCTAATAAAGTTTATGTCTAAGACAATAAACCGGTTTGTTTAAATGTCACTCTTATCCCAGCCTCATTGATAATCCTACAAAAGGCCTCTGATATCCCTCCTTTATACGGCATTACTACACAGGCTTTTACTTCTATATTATTTTCATTATTTGAGACATTTTTAATGCTAGTCTTTGTTTTTCTATGGTTCTTCATATATTTTAAAATAAATTCTGGTAGGTAGTCAGTTATTCACTAGTGATATATTTCCCTCATATGTTTGATTTCATTATTTCAATCTTCTGGTGTACTAACTAGGCTCTTGGCCCAATTATACTGACATTTAATTAAGCCTTCCTTTACCACCGATTCTGAATGGGATGAATTAAAGTCTAAGTATTTTGCAAGCAAGACAAGCTTTCGTTGCTCTCAAGTCTGTGTGGAGGTCAACAGCATTCATCATCAAAAATAAGACCAGGATTTTCAACTCCAATGTGAAGTCAGTGCCACTTACAATACGCATCGGAGACTTGGCGTGTCACAAAGAACACCTCAAACAAACTGCAGACCTTCATCAACAGTTGTCTTCGCTCCAACACTCAAGATCAGATGGCCGGTCAGTAAAGAGATAAGCAACAGGGATCTCTGGCAATGTGCAAACCAACCAGGAACCGATTGTGCAAGAAATAAGCAGGAAGAAATGAAGGTGGATTGGTGGCCATACACTGAGAATCAAACCATCAAGTGACCTCACTAGACAAGCCATTGCTCGAGTAGAACACGAATGGGAAGCGGAGAGTTGGTCGTCCGTGTGAGGGTAACTTGAAGGAGGTCATGTGAAGAGGAGACGAAAGAATGAGGGCAGACTTGGAGCTAGGTGAAAACGTCGACAGAGAACCGAACGCAATGAAGAGGCGCGGCTTAAGCCCTATGTTCCTCTAGGAATTGAAGGGAATAATAATATGGTAATTTTGCATAACAGTGTGTCGGTTTCCTATAAAATGCCAGTATCTGACCAACTATCGTGTTTTCGTTTCATTTTACAGTCTACTATGGCTGGCTGACTCACCTTATTCATTTTTAACTCAAAAGTGAACTTCAATAAACGACACAAGTTGGGATGGGAAGGCAAATTATGAAGCCGTATGAATAAATTGATATGAATATGAGCAATAAATTGTGGTCAAATTGATATCCAGTTATTAATACTGTGTGTGTGTGTGTTATATCAAACTGACTCGTCTTATGCGAAACAAAATATCATTCTGAAATTCTGTGCATCTCTATGGTTCAGTGAACCACTGATATGAAGATTCTAGAAGATCTGGATTTCGCAGGTGATGTATTGTCTGATTCTACAGAAACTCGAAGA